AATGCCACTATCTGATAAAAGAATAGAACAAATTAGTCGGAAATATCAAATTAAACTCAATCCACTTTTTCATCCTGAATGACAACGACCCTATTCTGCGCATCAGGCTCCACGATATTGGATATGTTTGAATTTTACACAGATGATATCCATTATCTGATACGATTTATCTGCGATAATGAGCCAAAACGCTTAAGAAATACCATACAAGAAGTAGCAGATCGTATATGGAAAAAAATACAAGCGTTGGAAGATGTCAATGCACTAGAGATTAAATATATGGAACAAACGGCGAGATTTGTAATGCGAATGACGTTGAATGAATTCTTCAATTCAAAACTCAAATAAATTGTTTCAGTTTGAATCCTCATTTATTTCAACACAGGTAGATGTGGTTGTGGGTATGAGCGTGGGTACTTGCGAATGATGAAAAGACAAACATTGAGCATCCATATTCGTACCTTGTTAAAATGCATTCACTTGACTTTTATTCAACTGATAAGTTTTTCTAGATGATATTCATCTATTATTTCGATTTATTAAAATCTTACATCAAGTTGAAAATTAAGTCTATGTCGAATTTTCATGGGAGACCAAAATTTTGACCGGTGACCTCATTGATCCCTAAAATAAAAAACTAATTTTTTTTAGTGAGCTGGTAGATATCGTCGTGCTGAGCAGAACGTCATAATGGATGTGGGCATGGATGTCTGAGTCTGAATCTTCTCTTCATTGGCACTCACACCCATTATGACGTCTTGCTTAGCACTACGATATCTAGCAATTCACTCAAAAAAATTAGTTTGTTTTTATGGGTCAATAAGGTCACGGGCCGAAAGTCCTAAATAGATTTCTACCCAGGCCAAAGTTCTGCAGGTTAAAATTCATGTAATGCATTTTCATAGCATGAACTTTTTAATGAGAAAAAATATTTTCAATTATCACAATTGATAAAAGATTTTTATTTTTATATACATTGAATTAAAACCTTATATATAATTAATAAATAGTTTGTATAAAAATGAAGAAAAAAATGAGATTAAATGAAAATTGATAATTTTGTATAGCAAAACATTTGACTTGTTTAGCAGGTAGACATTTTTGATGTTGAACAGAAAATCGATAACCATGTTCACATGCTGTATAATTAAATGTACGACTTTCAAGACATGTATAATGAAATTGACAATTAGGTCGATATTGATCAACATAATTACCATTTGGTTTATCTCGACAAACAGGTTTAAATTCACATAATGGAGAATTATCATAATCACCTTATTAGAAAAACAACGAGTTTGTATAGAAATAACAGAAAGAAATTAATCTTACATGGATCGATACATTTTTCGCGTGAACCACAAGTAACAACTTGAAAATTTTCACATCGTTTTGTTTCAACTGAATAAAGTTTATGTAATGGACACACTTGTTCTTTTAAATGACCATTAATACATTCATAATAATGACAACAACTATGAGTAGCTACAAAACGTAATCGTTGTCCATTAGCCGGACATTTATGTTGACCTTTATAAAATAAATCATTTATAAATTAAAACAATAAAATCAATCACTTACAATGAGGAACATCTTTTGGCCATTGACAACCATGTTCTAATAAAAAATATAAAATGATTAACAAAAGAAAAAAGCTTATTAGCACAGTTTCTTCACGGCTAAAATGTGGAATTCACATGCTTCATTATACTAACACAACATAAGCTAAGTGAAATATCTCTAGTAGACGATCGTTGTTTTTTTTTCGGTCCTTATTTCCTATAGAAACGTACTCAATGACACTTGGTCTGGTGGCTAGAGCCACCAAAAACTCGATTTTTTTCTTCGAACAAAAAAAAAACGCATAATGTAAATTCCACAAAATTATTAGACAATCTTAACACTTACTTTTATCATAGAAGAGACCAGCATCACAAAATGATGGTTTGTCAACACCACCTATGATTATAATAAAAATTAGTAAAAATTCCAATAGGAAAAAAAAAAGAAAATTAATCTCAAAAACCTACCACTACAATAATGATAAGCTGAACAATCATATGGATCAGGAAAATATTTTTGAACACCTGGTGGACATTCAATAGGTAAATAAACATTTAATCGAAAATTTCTTGGAGTTGTAACTATATTTCCATCACCATCAATCATATTTGTTGCTGCTGTTGATGATGTATGTAAATTACCAGCTTTACCTATAAATTTATGAAATATATTATCGACTAAATCAAATAAACAAAAAAAAAACAAGGACTACTAACAATCTGACTTTTCTGGCCAATCACAACCTTGTGTTTCAGTAGAATACCAAAGATTATTTGAACATTGTAGTACTCGATGTGCACCAACAGTACAAAAATGATAAATATGACAATATTTTGGATCTAGAATAATTTCATTTAATATATATTTATAAACAAAAATTAAAATACCAGGAAAATATCCTTCAGCATCATATTCACATGTAAAATTTGAATCAACTTTAATTGGTGCATTAGTTGTTGTTGATTTCTTTTTTGCTCGCCAAGCAAGTGCTGCATCAGTAGCAAATAAAGTAACTAAATTTTAAAAGAAAAATAAATATTCATTTGATGATTTGATATATATATACGAATTAATTATCATTCTTCGGTACGATTATTGCACGAAATTCAAAGTAGACTTAAACAATTTCCGACTATTGTCTATCCATTTTCAATGAAAGTACAGTCCATCTTCCGCAATGAAATGAGTTCAATAATATAAAACGTAATTCATCTTGACTCACTCTATTCCTTGAAATATCATCTTAAAAATGTCATTCTACAAATTGAATAAAAGCCGAAAGATTTAAGAAAAAGAACACTGTTTTCATTTAATAAGAAAGTCACTCAGAAGTAACTATTGTGAAATATGATCTAAAAGGTGTGTTGAAGTGTAAAGGTAAAAATTTGAATTCTCTCATAGACTTTATATCAACAACGTCTCGTAATAATATATATGAACTACTTTCTTATTGTATTTCTCGAAGACTAAGTAAAACAATAGTGCAGGAATGTATCAGAAAGTTTTTGGACAAGATATTTGTTTACTTTTGACCCACTGAAAAGTATTGCAGATTAGTTAGGACTAGTATTTTTGTTTGAGAGCAGTGAAATAGTCTTTAAAAAGTTCAAAAAATTAGTTCGAACGGAAAATTTTTCTACACATTTTTGTATCCTCACTATTGCGATTAAAAACTAAAACTTGGAATCTTTATTTATATATCAACTTGTAGATAAGAAGCTACCCTACAAAATGCACTATTTGAAGTTGTTTTTCTTTAGTGTCTTTCATTTTTGAAAAATCGAGAACCATTTATCGTTGAAAGGAACTCTTTTGTAGGAAAATATTCGTTCTACAAAACGATCGACTCCGATAATTTTTAGCATGTTTGAAAAGGAAGACTTATAGGGTAAACAAAAATCTATTGGCTTATCATAGGAAATAATTTTTCAAGTCTTTCAAAAAGTTTTCTCACGACTTTCGAACAAAAATAGACACAAAATTTTTTAATATCATATTCAAAAAGAGCACAAATTCATCGCTTTTTGACTCGTGGAGTATTCAACAAGCTCTCAGACAAAGAAAATTTGAAAAGTAATGTCATACAGTATTTCGAACGAATAAGTATGGAACGACGAAAAAAAAACTCTAAGCTCTACAAGATGGATTATTCATTATCTTTTCTATCCTTCTTTCGATTTTTAGAAAATATTCTTTTCTTAGTTTAGCTGTATGGGATATTCAAAGATCGGTGACATATAAATCAATCAATGGAAATAAAAGGGATTAGCCTAATACAAGTAAAATCTCAATGGTACGAAAATTCAATTATATATATTTTTTTTTGGCTTACCGCCTCGAATATCTGTTATTTGATCCCATTTTCGAAGTCCTTTTTTACATTCAACAGTATTTTCCCATCCACAATTTTTCTTAATTGGATCCCATGAAGTACCTTCACCACAAACAGCTGCTGTGTCAACACCTGATGTACAAATATGATATATTCGACAATTTTGTCGATCTGGAAAATAACCATCAGCTAAAAAATTTTACATTATATATAAATTGAAATGTGAAAGACGTCAATTTTTACTTTTACAAACAAATGGTGCTGTTTCTCGTTTAACACGATCTAATAAATTTTCATCATCGTCATTAGGATTATAAAGATAAGAATTAGGTTTTGTTATAAATGATTGAATGATGTTGTTCGTATGAATTTTTGTTGTATTCTCTGCCAAAGAAGTTGAATAAATTGATTGATATTGTAAAATATTATTGATCGATTTCGATGATGATGTTGATGATGATGTTTGTTTTTTATTCGTTGATTCATTTCGTTGTTTAATTGAATTTAATGAATAACGTGATTCAATTGAATTAAAAAAGAAATTTATTATATAAATTATAAACCACCACCAACATTGACTATCCATATTTTATCCATGCCTTATATATTCATTGACCAAATCAAATTCACTTGTTCTAATGATACAATAAAATTTTGTTATTTTGTTTTTCTTTGTTTTGTTCTATAAGCTTTATTTTTTCTTTTTCGTTAAGAAAAAGGTGAACATCGTTTAATTGGACATGTACACACAGATACACGTAATAAATACAAACACCAAACTCTGTATTAGATCAACTGTATTTATTCGAGATTTAATTGTGTTTTTTTTCTTCGTTCATCTTTCTATATATATGGATTCTTTTATCCGATGTAAGAAATAAAAAAGACAAAAAAAAAATCATCATATATCGTGAGAATACAACAAACGAACAAAATGTAAAGGATTAATTATAATGATGTAATAGACAATTCTTGGTAAATGATCAAATGTGTATGCAAAAGAAATAAAAAACAAAAAGAAAGCAAATTGAAAAGGTTAAATAAGTAGTTGATTGAGTTTTTCTATTGTTATGACATAGGAGTAAAAAAAATAAGGCTCTTATTTTATATCGAAACACATGCTTCATTTTCAATCGTCTGAATATGTGATACGATTGTGTAAGTTTCTTGGGATTGTAATCCTGATGAGAGAATCAGGAGTGTCGTCTGAGAAGGTTGATTGGAAAATGTTTGATAAAGTTGAGCATTTTTGAGAAAATTGGTGACAAAAGGCTGGAGAAAAACATCTATGTTCTAACCATTGAGTTTCTCATATGAGTAATTATCAACGAAATGAACAATTATGTGAAATATTTCCATTTAATTTGAGATTCATAGAATTGAATTATTCGATATTTGTAAAATAAAATTTTTTTTTTATTGATCGTTTTCTTTTGACATATAACAAAAAAAAATTTTTCATTCTGGATCATTTGTTTTATGTGTATTCTACTATTAATTGTAAATATTCATTTTTTTTTTTTTGTATTCTTCTCTCTTTACTAAACAATAAAACATGAACTACAGCAACAATAGGCACATAAAATAAGAGTAGAAAAAAAAAAAACATGTGTTCAATTGATTATAAATCAAAGACAAGGAAGAAAATCATTGTTAAAAGAGATGAGATCAAAAAGCCAATATTTCGATGATCTAGAAAAAAAAAGCTAAAAATAAAATTAAACATTTAAATGATAAAAAAAAACAAATACATTGTATTATTGCACTTCCTGGTATATAAGTACCACATGGCATTGGTGCATTATTTCCTGGACCACATTTGCCTGTATAACTACTAAATTTTTGATCACCTGGACATTTAGCTTCACGCATTTTATTTTGTGCTACACATTGATAATAAAAATGACAATCACGTTCTGTATCTGGATGAATACCATCACGCTTATTGATACCTATATTCATAATCATAATTAAAAAAAAAAACTATTTCTTCTTTGTTTTTTGTATTATTTATTTTAAATTTACATTGATTTTTATCAGCTAAATTAGCTGCTCGACTTCCACAAAAAACTCGTTCATATTCCATACATTGACGTTTATCAGCATCAAATAATTGTCTTTCAGGACAATTAAGTCGTGTTCGTATACCTTTATCACATTGATAATAAGCATTACATTCTAATGGATCAGCTGTAGTATAAATTCCAGTTGGTTGACATTCAATAATTGATAGACCACCACTACTATCTTTTCCATGTGTTGATGGTAAAATTGAACCTATACTTGGTTCAGATAGTACAGAATCAGTATCAGATTTTTTTCGAGATGTTGTTGTATCTAATCAAAAAAGAAAAAAAAAGAAATGATCAATCAATTAAATGAATATTTAAAAATAATTAAATAAAAATTTTCTATTTTTTTTTTTTTTGTAAAGAATTTCATGCCTTCTGTAGTGGTACTTGTTGAATAATCTAGTTTCTTTTGATCACAATTAACTTGATCAATCCATGCACATGATCTTGTTTCTTCATCCCATGCAGTACCTTTTGGGCATTCAAATCCTTGATCAACACCATGCGCACATCGATAATATCTCGTGCAATAATCAGGATTACTGATATTAAAGAAAAAAAACAACAACTGACATGCATATCTCAATAGAAGAACAAGAAGAAATTTCTTACGCAAAAAATCCATCACGACCAGCACAAAATATTTCAGCAGATGAACTTGCTTGACAAACAGTTAAATAAGAAGCTGGAATGGAAGTTTGATTAATAATTTATGAGAAGAAGAAGTAGTAGTAGAAGAAAAAAGGTAAACAAGCATTCATGCACTATATATTTGAATTCTCACGATCAATATCTTCTTCGTCTTCATCACCATCTAACATTCTTTTATTTGAATTTTTTTTCTTTTTTTTTCTTTTTGATTTAGTAACAACAACAATAGGTTTATCATCTTTTGTTTCATTATCATCATCTTGTTCATTTTCATCATCTTCTGATGTAAGTTTAGCTGTAGTTTTTTCTGAACGTGAACAATCTACATTATCAAGCCAATTACAACGATTTTCATGATGATCCCAAGCTGTCCCACTAGCACATTCAAATTCTTCTGATGAACCATGAATACAACGCCAATAAATATGACAAAATTCAGGATCATAATACCAACCATCTTGTTTAGCTGAACAATCATATTCAGCTAATGTTGTTTTAAGAATAAAACAAGCTATGATAATAATAACATAGCCAAAACTAAAAGCTAAAATATAATAGAAGAAGCTTTTTATCTATTCTAATATCTATAAGTATATCTAAGTTTAATGAATATGTGTATATATATATATATATATTATTTTATCTTACCACCAAAAACAAGAAGAACAATTTCATTCAACATCATTTTTAATGTAGAAGAAAAAATTATAAAATGAACTCAATCATTTCTCAATCAAGATATTTTTATTTCTCAAATATTAACTAAACGTGAGACAATACATATGCTTACAACTACAGGGTCGTTTATGATGGTTCAGCAGTTGCATATTTTCATCGTTGAGGTGTTTTGTTGTTAGATGAAACAATGTTATATAAAGAGAATGTCAAATGATGGTAAAGAAAAAAAAGAAGACGAAACGAATAATCCTTATTCAAAGAACTCAACCGATTTGTTGATGTTGATCTACTTTGTTCGATAGACAGACTTCTTAAAAAAAAAAAAAAAACGGAAAAGGTCACATTTTTCTTTCGTTCAATTTCTATTGTTTATAATACGGCTAAAAATCAATATTATGTGATATAATGTATATTTAACAACGAAGAAAAAAAGTACAAATGTATTGAAATCGTTGATCGATTTATTAAACAAATAGATTCATTTAAACAATGATCGATGTTTTACTTCTAGAGATGATATAATAATTTATTTCGAAATCAAAACATCGAATAATTCTGATGCTGCGGACAGTGTTAGAATGGCACTAGTAATAATCTTTGTAAGTATCATGAAAGTTAATAAAGATCAATCATTCTTATATGTTGTATAACCAATGTTTTAAAAAAAAACAATTATAAATAAGTTTTAAAAGACATTCAAATAAAATCAATTGTTAAATAATATAGCATATATGATTTTCTTTGGTTTTAAAGTCACTAAGAAAAAAAAAAGTCAATTTTTAAAAATATGCTTTTCTTGATTGTACAATCCAAAATTCTCTCTGAGTCTTCGCATTCTATATATTTAATTTTTTTTTTTTGAAAGAATATGTCAAGATGCACGGCATGATAGAAGTTTCTTTTGAAATCAAGCGTTGTTACTATTATATAAAAGAGTATTTTTATAATTAGAGCACCATTTTTTGAAATATTGAACTTTTCTCCTCTTAATAAGTAAGAATTTTTAAAAAAAGTAGTTCTCTCATGTTCTGAATCTTGACTAGGAGTGGTGTTTTCACTTTCCTTTCGGAAAGAAAAGTAAAATAAGAACTTTTTGTTCTTTTTCCAGAAAAAGTTATTAAGCTAGATAGATGTCTAGCATTCAAAGCTTTGTATATATATGTTAATATGAATAAAGCTTTATAAAAAGATGAAATAATTCATTTAGACAGGAGTTCACAAAATACAGTTACATTACACGCAATAAATAAAAAAGTCTAATGTTTTTACGGTTATTGATAGAAAAAAAAGACAAACAATTTTTGTGGTGTGTACATATCAATTTTTCTTGGGTGCTATATTTTAATGGTTGTTAACTAGAAATAGAGAACGAATGTGTTCTTTCTTGAAGTTATTTTGGGGTTTTTATGTCTATTTTCTTTAGTTTAAGTCGATTTTGATAATATTAATAGGAACAGCAAAACCAACAGAAATAAAGATTTAATTATGATGTTTTATCAAAAGATTCGATCGTAAATTCACTAAGAACAATTAGACGTTATATACCATCGATTATACTATTATTTAGGGAACAAATTTAACTTTTTAATTTCATTGGTACTTACAACCATTCATTATGCACTAATATCATAACTATCAGACACACATGTGGTGCAATGTACCATTTGTTTATATGTTACTGACATTTTAGTTATTTTCTAAGTTCTCTTGAAAGCTTAGGATAAAAGGTAACTCTTTGTCTTTCTGACTCGATTTTGATGCGTCTGAAAAGTTTTATGCCATCAACAGATAAATCCATGTTTTAAATAAAAGAAGGCAATCGATAACTGATGAAATCAGCATCTCACAATAATATGCCTTCTGTCATGTCAATGTTCCAAAGTGATCCCTAGTAGGATTAGACGTATAATATTTGCATGTATCGTATGTACCCTATACCCACACAACCTTTTTTCTTTCGTCGAAAAATTCATCGTTGGTTTCCCTTAGGGGTGAGTCAAAAAACAAATTTCATAACAACTCTATTTTTATTGTTTATTTATTTGCTATTTGCAGTTCTACTATTGTTTTATAACTTTAGAACTTGATTTCTACTATGAAAATAACTTTTCGATTAAATTCATTTTTTGACTTAACCTTAAGAGGAATTACGCGTGAATTTGTTAATGAAAAAAAAAAGTTTTCAAATACACATAAAGTCCATTCAGTTGTGAATGTTGATTCAAAATATCATATATCATAGTTTTCTAATCGAAATCTATTGAATATCAAGCAAAAAAAAATCATGAAATCATGTTTCGAGAATAGTATCCTGGAAATTTCTTTGTGTAACCAGTATTTTTTCGCTGATGTTTTTATACCATTTTGAAGCTCTTGAAAAGTGCTGATTATCATCGATCGTCAAGTTCAATGTACATGTGCAGATCATTTGACTATTTCAATCGATCTCATATGCACAACACAAAAAAGTTTTATATGACTAATTCTACCAGGGCTTACTTTTCACACACCTTTATATAATTGTTTGACATAGATGAAAATCAAATTCCCTGAGGGGATCATTTTCAATAACTATCGACTTCTTCTTCGTCTCCTTTAAAAAAAATCTTTATAAATTCTTGACTCGATTTTAATCAAAATAAAATAATCAATACAGATAATTAAAGCAATGAATAGTTCATAACGAAACATTCGTTTTCATGGTATGATATCAAAGCAAGGACATATAAATAACGTGCTATATATATCATTTTCATTAAAAAAAAATGACTAAAGGAAGTAATAAAAGTATCTGATTCTCTTTCAACATCATTTGACAAAACACAACAACACATTTTGAAAGACTTTCTTGAATGTTATTTTTGCAAAATAAGTGCATAAAAAATGTAATAAACATATTTTTTCGCGGAAAGTAAAAAAAACAGAACGGAGTGATAAAAACAAATTGAAGTCTTTTTATATTGTTATATATCGAGAAAATCAGACAATAATGTTGAATCAGCAATTAAACTCAAACAATATTACAAACCAACAACAAGAAAATTCATCAAATGTTAATATATTCTTTGATATAATCAGGAGATTTAATTCATTTCTGGACTATTCATTTTCATGGCCAATGAGAATATTACAAAATGTTGTGGATAATATTTATAGCTTAGCTGTTAATCATACAGCCACGTTTTCATGTTTTACGTGTATGGCTATAACTACGACAGTGTCTGTTACAAGTATTGCAGTTGGAGTTGGTGTTGGTACTGGTATAGGTTGTTTACCATCAGATACTATTAGTTCAAATTCTACGAGTAGTTGATTAATTAAATTTTAACAATTCTATAAACAAACATTGAATTGATTTCTTTTTGTTTCATTCTTATATTATTAATCATACATATCCAGGACTTATTTATTGATAAATACTTTGAACGCTTTTTTTGTTTTTTTGGAAATTTGTTCGATTGAAATAAATAATAAAATATTTTGTATATAGTTAATAATAATATTGAAAAGAAAAAAGTATTAGAAAGAATCCAAATAGGGATTCCCATGGAGAAAATGACTTTCGACAAGAATATAAGAAAATACAAAATTATAATAAGATTTTCAAAGATAGAAAATCCAAACTCTAGTTTTTCGACACCTTGAACACATAAATATAATTTTAAAAACATCGTAGAGAAATCGGAGACGTGTCATTTTGTAGATCATATCAACTGATTCAAAACTTTTTAATCACTTGCAGAGTTGATAAAAGTTACATCATTGGAAAGAACGTAAAAACTTGAATATCTGGTGAAATTTTCGCAGATGGGTACCTAAAGCATCCAGCAAGAACCTCACGTCAAAATGTCCTTTTTCTCTTCCATCCACCTATTTTTAGTGAATATGCGTATGTATACAAGTACGCTTACCGCATAGTCATTGAAAAAAGATGGAAAGACAGGGGAAAAAAAAGATATTGATGTGGTTCTTGCTGGAGGCTTTAGCATATCTATCAATGAAAATTTCATTATATATTCAGTTTTTTACGTTCATTTCAATGATATAAATTTTATCAATTCTGCACGTAATCAAAAATTTCGAATCAGTTGATATGTAATTATTTATTTTATCGTTCTATGTGATCTAAACAAAATTAAAATTACGTATTTTAAGTGCTAAAAATCTTGTCTTTTGATGTTCTGGAGTCCTCTTATCTTTAAAAATCAGTTCATAATTTTTATTGACAACCATTTTTTGTATATTTTATTTATTAAAAAACAAAAATTATAAATATTAAACAAATTTTATTAAGAATTTACCAATTAAAATATGAAGAGAATTAAAATATTATTGAAAAATTTCAAAACACAAATTATTATGAAAATAATAAATAAGAATTCTAGATCGGAGTTAACTAATTTATAAATAAATATTTCTTAATAAAATATTTACACAGAAAACAATCAAATATTGTTCGATTCTTTTTTTTTCTTTCAGAGTCAAATTTTCAATCGAGACTCTATTCAAATACTAGCGGTAGTGTTAGTAATATTACTGCCCGCTATACTAATTGCTTCTGTAGTGGTTGTAAGAATATCAACAGTTGCAGATTTCGCACAATTCAATCCAACACCAAGTCCAACACCTAGTCCAACTCCAACAGAAGCTGTCATACCAACAAGTGCACCACAAACGCATACTGAACATAATGCTGGATTTATTTGAAGGAAATTAAATGATATTCCAAGTTTATCTAATATATAAAGTGGAAAATCAACAATCATTTCTATTGCATGTCCAATAAAGTTTTTTATTTCCATAACCTTTTGCCATGTAGTTAGAATTGTTCCTACTTGATATAAACTACTTGTTGGTGCAGGATAATCCATTGTTATTTTCTATAAAATCAAATAGATTATAATCAAATGAAATTATTTATAATAATGTTTCTTCTTTTATTACTTTTTTTTCCTACTATAGAATAATATTAAGAATCTTTTATTTTTCAACCGTCTACTTTTGTATATATATATATATATCCGTGATAAAGCTAGAGTATTTACCAAAATTTCAACTTCGGTACGACATATAAAACAAATAGAAAAGTTATGTCAACATTTTATTTATTCGTTAAACACGATCTAGGCAGGCATAAAAAAAAATGATATTCATGTCCTTGATATGTGTTAATTTGACGATAATGGAAATGTCGCAGCGATAAATGAGTACCTGCCTACACTTTTTATATAATGTTTTGAAAGAAAACAAGAATACATTCTCCGAATTGTATTTTAATGGTTGTATTTTGTTTGATTGACGACGTTGTCTTTTCTCATCTGAGTAATTAATTAAAAACATTGAAAGTAAACAGGAGAGAAAACTGTTATCTTTCGTATTTATTTACGTTTAGTATTGAATAGTTAATTTATATCATTGAAGTTTAGATGTCGACATGTTTTTTTTTTATTTATATAAACTATTAGTAATTGCTAAACTTTGATTAGAAAATTATAAAAATGAATTTGATATTTTTTTTTTTTTTTTGATGATATTTATTTAAATTCCGATTAGATTTTAATCATTCTTAATATTTTTTATTAGACGATTAAATTTCTTTTTTTTGCGTAAGAAAATTCCATTATAGAAATATATTCATTACTAGATAGAGTATTCATTTTCACTTATTCGTACTGTACATGTATGCATCAATGACTTCTTCTGCATCGATATCGGAAAATATCTTTATAAACAAGCGAAGTAACATTTTAAATTATTAAACTCCAACAGAACCCAGCTATTATTTGACTATAGGGAATATAGAAGATAAAATATCCTTGAATTTGTTTTTTTTTGGTTTGGAAAACAATGTATCAAAACTTAATAACATCATATACGTATATTTAATATATTATCTATGAACCACATTAAATTTGAAGACAAATAAACATCGATAGAAAAACATTTCAAAAAGCAGAAGCTTAAAGATTTTTTCTTTTTTTGATTGGATTTTGATAAGATAAACTTAATTTTAATTGAGAACACTGGTGAAATCTACAAATTTTATTTTCATCTTTTTCAATTTGAAATTTTTTAAAAGTTTTGTTATCGATTTCGTTGATAAAACTAAATCAATGATTTAAGATTTGTTAATATAATTAAGTCGTTTATATTAAAATAAATTTCATATCATTTATAAAAGACATCGGGTACGGTGTGATCGAGAGTGGATGAGGGAGAGAGTTAGAAAAGGCTATCTTCTCCTGTCTTTCAAAGTTTGACGGTAGTTTCTCGATTATTTTTTCGTTTAATGTTCTTTTTCTAATCTGCTTATGCAATGTTGAAAGAAAAAGAAATCAGCAATGTTCAAATTTGTAAAATAGTACATTTCTCTCATGAAAAATTCAATTTTGGAAACTGTTTTTAGAGAAAAACCATATCAACAAAAATGTTTGGAAGTCACCATAATTTTCATTGTAACAATCGAAAACATCTACTGGAAAATATTCAAATTTCCAGCATATTTCCTCAAATTATCAGGACAGCAGAAGTAAATTTCTAAGATATTTGAAGTGTGGCGGTGGGTGTGGGTTTGACTCAAGAAGAAACTCACACTCACATGCACGCCGAATGTCACAATTAGACAACTTCTCTCTTGGTTGTACGTATCGGCATGACTGTTCCAAAGGTCAATAAGTAGGAGTACCAAATGATTGGCCTACTTTTTTCAAAAAGATTCGTTCTTCGAAAGAAAATAAAGTTATGATTGCTTTCTACAGTGAAAAGTCAAATTTTTACAAAAGCATGAGACCGAACAGCCCTTTAGGATACTTGTCGGAGTAGTTCTACTTATCGATCTATGGAATGGTTGTTGACTACACTTATTTAGCTGAATGGAATGAACTTGTTTTTCTACAACGATGATGGCTTGGTCAATGTTTGTGTTATTTCTTACTTTTCTATTTCCATCAGTCGATTCCTATTACGCTTCAACCATTTCATTCAAATATATTGAGATTAGACACCATAAGAAACGAAAAATTTCATGTCGTATATTTACAGTGCAAATGTCGTGTGCGGTTATTCTATATAATAATGACCATAAGATAGAGATGGAAAAAGCACTATTGAAGATTATACAATCTTACGTTCATGGTAGTTCACGGAGAAGAATTGAAAATCAAAGTGAGACTTTTTTGTCGTTCTATTTATTTATTTATTCAAGATATCTTAGCGTCATGGTTGACATTTTAGTTTGCAATCACTTATTCTCTTTGATTATTAAATAGAAAAGATCATATGTATGGTAAAATGTAAAACAAATATCGATGTGTTTCTTGTAAACTGCATAAGAACTTCAATATTTATATTGAATTGTCAATTGGCAACATTCATTATGAGTAGTTAAGGAATTTCATCAGTTTTTGTCTTCCTATCATTCGAGTAAAATAGTTGCCGGAAAAAAAAACAACGTCACAAAACAAGTTTCCTACTCCATTGACCGTTAGGTACGAGCTAGTATTCAGTAGAATGTTTGACTTCTTAAAATAATGGAATATTTTCTTCTGCGTCATTAGGAATCGATATAGGAACATGTAGAATCGACTAAGACAAATTTTGTATTATACTGAACGAATGAGTCCTTTCTCGATTTTTTTTTCGATCTAGAAATTTCACTTATTTTAAAAAAGATCAAGATTGATTTGGTAAAGCTTCAAAGATTTGTCCAACGAACTTTCCACAACGAAATATGTCCATCAAAATTTTCCAGTAATGATATAGACTCATATGTTAACCCTTGTAACTGTACAATTTTCATATTAGCTCAGGCAGTAATTTGTCTTTTGACTTAGGTAGTATTTGAAATCTTGCACTATTCATATCTTTGCTAGTGAAAATCAATAGACGGCTTGATTCAGTTTCAATCAGACCAATCTTATTAACCTCATATGGCATCATGATTGTCACATTGTGAGTTTATATGAAATGGGTGATATTTCTTACATCTATCGTCATCAGATCCAGAAAGCATCTGCACGGATGGATGCACGAACCTTAACAATGCAATGCTTTCTTTAATCGAACTCTTTATTTAAAAATTGAGATAAATGTCATCAAGAATTCTCTTTCTAGATATAACTTCATCGATTCGTTTAGAAATCATTCGACTTGATGATTCGAGATGTTAACAACATAGAGATTGTCATGTCTTACCCAAAATAATTCAATTGCTTGATTTGTTGTTCTCTACCATTTTCATTAATAATAACATTTTCTTCTGTCACTTCTTTGTACAATTGTAATATTTGATGATTGTCAAAGCTAGCTACGTAGAAGTATCTAGTGGATTGAAGAATACTGATTGGGACGAATTTAAATGTACGATAACGTTCTTTTGGCGTCGACAAATCTTCTTTCACATCATCACACGATGACTTTTAGCATCCAACGTGTACAACATAGAGTTCTTTGCATTCGATAGATGATGCTGATGATTTGCATATATGAATGAAAGTTGACATTATAAATTGATAGTTGGTTTATGAAACTATTCATATAGAAAATAAAAGTTTAGATTAATATTAATTTATTGAAAGATACTCTTTTGTCAAAATCCTATGTACAATTATTTCATACGTATTAAAATTATGGCAAAGGAAAAATCGATTTTTTTCTATTATTAGTATCGTAACACTAGAACTGTCATCTAACAGATGTAGCATCAGAGCTCGACAATTGTTGCTTCGCAAAAGAAGAATGATGTACAAAAGAACTTCTACAAGAATCGGTCGGATCAAGGTAAACGGACAACGAATAGACATATAAAGGTATCAACTACAATTTTACATAGTATTCATAATATTCAAAGCTTTATCAATATACTGTAGCAAACTACAGTTTCTTATTTTAGTTGAAAAGATTTGAAACAAAGAAATAAATTGAAAAATTCGATATGATATGAGAGAGAATGAAAATCGATTAAAAAACTTGTCCTTCTTTGTTACCCCACCATTTAATCAAAAATTCATCGATTGTCATCGGTTGTATATTAGGAAATTTTTCGTTCAATATTGGTTCAAAATCTATTTCACCTTGTGCAATAGCTATGAATACTTCTTGCACAAATTTCATCATTCTATTGGTTGATATTAGATTGCATTGTTTCAATGTTTCATCGATAGTCGTACGTTTAACATCGAATTTTTTTCCTCTTATTTGTTCACCTAATTTAATCAATTGATTCCATGTTGTTCGACTTCCAACTATTCCCATTTTCTCATCCCATTTATCTAAATCAAGTGCAGCAGCAACAAATTTGCCTACATCATCAGCTCGAGTCGTACATAATGGTTCATCACCTGTGCCGACAATGTTTGCTTTGCATTTATTGAAATCAATACCAACAATATCAGGAGGCAAAGATGAACTTGCTCTTTGTGGTGATGCAAAATAATCCATAAAAAGACCAGGCATAAATACCGTAAATTCAATATCAGAAGTTTTAATCTTGTTACGTACAGGTACTTTAAGTTCACGACAGAGTTGTATTGCTGAATTTGCCTCATTTTTACCGGACCATTCCGATGGAGCAAATCGTTTTACTTTAGCTTCTAAACAGGCATCAAGCAAATTCAATTGAGATTTCATAGCAGACTCGTCAATTCCAATGAAACAGACAATTACTGTATGTACTCCTTGCAATTCAAAGACGAGTGATTGATGATCAGCATAGTTAACTTTAACAACATCGACTCCGTTTGCTGTTAGATCAGATAATGATAAAGGATCTTGACGAGTAAAAACTTTGACCATATATTTCTTAGTATTAATAATACCATCGACAATATGACGACCAAGTCCGCCAGTCCCACCAGCCACAACAACTAATTTAGTTTTGTTTTCAGCCATTTATCTAGATGAAAACCAACGTGTAAACACAAACACGTGATAATAATGAGAGAAAAAAAGTGAAAAGACAAAATCTGTTAGAATATCTTATCTATCTCACATAGAACAATAATAAATGACACTAAAAATACCTTGTCACCTTGACGTACACGAAGAATAAAGAACGTTGAATAAAATACATTATCAAGATCAAATAAGTTGTAGATAACTGAATGCATCACTGAATTCCACGTGCACAATTTTATCGATACTTGTTCTATAGAACAATAAGACAAATATTGGATAATATCAATGATTCATCATTTACGATTTATAAATACACGTAAATAATAAATTTCTATAGAAGGAAAATTGTTCTCTTTGGAAAGATTGTTCATTTCAAATTGAACAATGGCATATATTGATGTCTATACAGAATCGTAGGCAATGAATCACAAGATATGTTTCTTGACCTAATTTTTTGAACGTCATTAATTTCGTCTTTCTCTGTCATGATTGTGTCACAGGATTATGTCTATTCTCTTATCTGTAATGATAGAGTGACATTAAGAAACACATTGTTGATCGATCCCAGATCAATGATTAGAAAAAAAAAACTTTTAAACGTTCTTCTATCACTGAAATGGATATTTGAATATTGGAACATTATCAAACAAGGTAATTGCCATATTTTTGTTGTTCTTAATTTCTGATCAAGAATAAAAAGATCAATACTAAAGAAGATGAAATCAAAAATCGTTTTTATTCCAATAAATTTAGAAGACATATGATGTTCACCATATTACACTTCAATTTAATAATTCGTGTAATATCTTAGAACTACATATATGGCAGCGTAAGACTCAGTTTCACATCAAATGAATGAAGCATCATGTATGATTATATTGAAATCAGATACGAACACTGTCACATAGATATTGAGTAATAAGAAACTCGTGTAACTACAAAATACCCTTCTTTCTTTATCTGTAAATCATAAGTACATATTCATTTCTAGTCAACATAAACATAGTTGAACTAAATATTATCCGAAGATGTTACTCATTGATTAGGATAAAAAAACGTCATCAATAATCGTACTTCTGTAAGGAGTACGATCTTATTTTTTTCGACAGTTAGTTATTTCTGAGCAACAGCTATTTCTGCCTGAGTTTTAAGAGCTCTCGATTATTGATGACATGGATTACGATTTCCAGGAATTGCTTTTTTAGTTCTATTAGTGATGGATCTTTCTAATATGACAAAATTTCCTACTTTGAAAGTTGATCTACTTTAAAACGAAACGGTCATTGTTGTCTAAATTTCTAAGAATAAAAATACAATGCGCTTCTATTACGGGCTAGTTTTCATCCATACCCACACCCTCATGAGAGGCGAAACTCAACAGTCTTGATCGAATAAGTTTTTCCTGTATCTTTGTATACTTCTTCCATATCTATACTGAGTGCTGACATACCAAAAAGTAAAGAGAATGATTGCAAAACCTGTAACTTGATGCAACTTGAAGTAATGAAGAATAAAGATGAACCACGATTGATAAACAAACACAATTCAATGTTATGAGACTAATAAATCACATTTAGTTCTCCGGGAGTATGGTGATCAATGAAATCAACACTTGTCATCTCCGTATTTTTTTTTTGGAAATCTACAAAAAAAAGCTTTCTAATCCAAACGAATGGGTTTCGATGAAAGAAGGCAATTTAAGACCTTTTCCGAAGACTTGTAATGGAGAAAAAAAGACTTTTATGAAAAAGCATTTAAAGACCTTCTTCTGATAATGTATAATTTCTATTTTATTTCTTGACGAATGCAGAATGTTGAACCATCGATCTCGGCAATGGCAAGACGTGATGTCTCACTCATGGGGTATTCTTGTTTGTTCTTACAGTTAGTACGGTGATTTACATGGATATATGGGCGTCGACGTCAGTATATCCTGCTGTACCCGTTAGAATACGACCGTAACGTTCATATAAGGTCATTTACGACAGTTATAATCATGTACCTGGGTATTACACTCAAGTTATGACGTTCTTGTATATGATCATTCAACTAACTTAACATGAAAAACTATTTAGATGAAATGTATCCATGTGAATAGTACAAATTGCATCTATTGTATAATCGTTTTCTTTAAATCAAGTTAAGGACATCATCTACGAGAGAGAAAAACAGTTGCAATGATAAAAGCAGGAAATAAAAATCTGTTAGGTACGAAAACACATATCAATACTGTTCTGTTGCAAAGAACTGTAGAAGGACTCAATTACAATTGATCAAAGTGACTCTATTTTCATTTGATTAAAATTTAATTTTTAGTTTTGAATCATTGATTAATGATTTACAATTACTAGAAATAGATCAATCTTTTTTAAACGATTACACGGATCTTGCGAAAATCGTGAAAATCAGACAAAATCAAAGCTTTTGTTACGACTAAAATTCATATTTCATTTGAATAAAAATAGTGTTGTTTTAAGTGATTTTAATTGAAGAAGTCATTTGTTGACAAGGTTCGTTAATTTCTTCTCACGATACTAGTCAATTATGGAGAATACATTTAATAAGAAAGTAAACAGACAGATCGCGTCGAAAGACGAAATTCTATATCTTTGAAAAGACATGAATAATATCGTCAAGAAATTCATTTGTTATTTGCATAATAGAATCTATCTATTACACTAGGGGCAAAGAATCTCGTCACCGAATAGCAACAACATAAATTTCACTCGTTTAGGTTCGTTTTTTCACTACGATTTGACATCATTCCATCTTGATCAGTTGATATATACTATATTTTATGAAGCTGGAACATTAACGAAGTTATTTAAAACTTTTCATTGATTAAGGATCAAATAATGAAATGAAGAAAGTTGAGTCGAACTTGCTAATGTTCGTATGCAGAACACTAGAAAAAGAAGATAGGTTCTTTATCAACTTTTATCTTCAATATGAAAGATATGAGTCAATAGAAGAACGTCATTTTCTGATATCAGGACTTAGGTAAATAGCAGAAAAAAAAGAGTGTATAAAACATGATGGAGGCGATTCGTCAAGTAGAAGCAAGGAACATCAAACGATCACTACTTAGTACACAATTGTGTTAATCAAATACAAGTCAAAATGTCGCATTATCATGGTCAGAAACATGATTATGGCAAAGAAGACTTCAGTATCAATGATAATTATCTAAAGTCTTCTCAATCATATGTTGAACTCGATAATGTTCTTCCGTAAGTGAATCTTTCTTCAAGAAAATAGTATTCCTTTGGAAAGAACACATGAAATCATTGATGAATTCAATTCAATCCTCGACACTCTGTAATGGATACTCATCATCTAGTCATCCGCAATGGATTCAACCATGTTCTTCGGATAATCAACAATTGACTATTATAACGTCTGGTCTCAAAGTATATTTAATTTGTTCAGGTTTACTCTATTTCTTATTTGTCATCATGGATATTAGTCTAGATATTGGCCTTATCGTTACTTCGTATTGGACATGGTATCTTGGTTTTTCTATAACTGCCTTTTTCATATCCGCAGGTATCAGCACATTGATTGCTGCATGTCAACCAGCATATGCAATCATATTTCTTTTATGGACCTATATTTCCGTTTTGGTAGCGTTCTTATTCATTTTGATTATTTCTATTGTTAATTTAGCTTTATCGAAATGTTGTGATTCAACGCTATCCAATACCGAATGTGGCACTAAATTAGCATACGCTCTCAAAGGGATTCTACTTATCATGTTCATTCTCTCACTCATTCATTCTGCTTTTATCTTAATTGCTATCAGAAAAACGAACGGAACTAGAGCAAAGACAATGCCGATCCTCTATCGAGTTTTCTCGGAAGATTGACGACTAAACACATACAACATCGTTCAATGTCAATGATTTCTAACTGCAGTTGTGCACTGATCAAAAAGAAAAATAAAGACTGAAAAAAACGATGATTTTTTACTATTGTTTTTATATTTATTCAATGAGAAATGAAAGCAGCAAATTGTATCATTGTGGTTCGTTAACTGGACTATATGGATGTGACATGTGAATGTAGGTGTGCATGTAGCTGAGTAAATAGAAGACTCATATCAAACACCATATCCACAGTCTTAAATAAGTACTTGGTAATTTGACGAAGAAAAGCACTATAGCACTTTTTGATCATTATAACAAATAATACATGATGTCCCAAAAGTCACACTACACTCCGAAAACCTTGGATTTCTTCATCATACTTTGATCAAATATGATGATATTTTTACCAGTGATACAAGACTACTGATATTTTATCCTCATAAGAAAAATGTTGAAAAATACTGCTATGAAGTACAGTGTGCTTCGAGAATCACTTTACACGTTAAACATCTATTTTTCAATTCACATGCATATCATTGGTTTAATCACAATATCACGACTATATCATTTTTGCAAATGTTCAACATGTTGTCCATTTACTTTCACACACTTCGTCCATCTACGTATAGTTTCATTCAACACACTTTGAATGATTGTGATATGCTCTGTATGCCATCTATGATTCTAGTTACGAGGTCTTCCAGCGTGTTGACTTGAGTTGCATAAACACTTGTTTTAACAAATCTCCATAAGAAAAAATCCGTTGAAATGAGATCGGGTGATCATCATGCTGGAACGTTATATCTTCAGGTTGAAGTACCATTCGTTGGAGTTCTGGAACAAAAGAGTCCTGCAATATTTCCAGATATTTAACATCGGTGACAGAAACTGTGCCATCGTTTTCACGAAAAACGAATGGCCCAATGCTACCATAACCGGAAATAGCACTTCAAGCATGTAGTTTTGAACTATTCTATTCGTGTTGACGAATGGTTCTTAGATTTTCTTCACCCCAAATGATGCAGTTGTGACAGTTAACTACACCAGACACATGAAATGTCTTCTCGTCTGAAAACCATAGAGATGACACGAACTGATCAACATCATCTTCAAAAATCTTTTTTAAAAGTAAAGAACACATATCTTCTCTTTGATCTTCAACCTCTGGATACAGCTATTGTACCATTTGAAAACGACATGGCTTTAGTTTCACATCAATTTTCATGATTCTGTGCACACTGCTACATGAAATGCTTATTTCTTGTGATGCTCTTCGAACCGATGTTGTCGGACTTCTTGACATAATTTCAGACACGGCTTGAATACTCTCGTCATGACGTGCACTTTTGGGTTGACTTGAACGTGAAAGATCATGAATGCTACCAGTATCAATAAAGCGTCGGTGGATAGCATAAATGGTTGAACAAGTTGGAGGCGCTTTTCCAAACTCTTCTTCGAACTTTTGATGCACCTCCACAACACTGAATTTGTCTGCCATTAGTCTTTGTAATAATAAGCATACAGTTTTTGATAACTGATGTATTATTTCACCTTATTACTTTCTCTCGTTTTTTTTTCTTTCAGAACAAAAAAAAACGAAAAAATATCTCACACAAACTATCAAGAAGTACATTCTTAGATATGTTCTCTCCTAAACAGCACTTTGCTCCTATATATTTAAATATTGATGATATTTTTTTTATCATCAGGATGATCCCTTGAAATAGTAGAGAATTGAAGAACAAAGACAAGTAGAACAAAAAAGAACATAATGTAAGAGTAAAGTAATTTGGTTCACGATCATAACATAGTGTAAGACTATGAATTCTTATTGAGCTAGCCGTGACACTTCGAAGCAGTATTTTTCAACGCTTTTCTTATGAGGATAAAGTATAAGTAGTCCTGTATCACTGGTAAAAAAATCATCCTATTTGATCAAAGTATGGTGAAAAAATCCAAGGTTTTCGAAGGGTAGTGTGACTTTTGGGACACCCTGAAGTTTAAACAAGTCATTCGATTCAGTTTGTTGATTGTTCGTAAATTGGGATGTTATATGTAAGCGACATCTTATGTAACGACCATTTTTCATTGTCTAATACTGAGTATATCGTTACATAGGAGTAGTGGGATGACGAATTGAGGACTTTCAATGGGGAGCATATTTCCATAGGCTGCATTGGTCACGGCTAACTCATTTTGTCTGTTTTATATCGAATGAGGGTGTGAGTGAGTGATGGCAGGTTTGGAGCGTCAGAACGTTCTCTTCATCATTATTCCCATACGTGCCCACCTATTTGGATGATCATTTGATAGTATCAAGTTGCTCTCTCATCAGAACGAATCAGATCAGCCTTTATTTATTCATGAAGCTATACCAATTAAAAATGAAACAACGGTTTTTCTTGACATGTGTTTGATATAGTTTTAGACGAGAAGAAATCGATGGTTAAGTTAAGAAAACAAAAAAATAACACTTAGAGGAAAGCAAACGTTTCTTGTCTAGAAGCTAACACGGAGGCCATCGAGTTGTTGGTCTTCTGTGACTGACGAAGACGCGATCTGCACCTCTACCAGTCGAGTTTGTTTGCCGTTTCTGGTTTTGTTTATCAAAGTTTCTAGTGCTGAGATCCGTATGAATGTCTGTCATAATCGAGGGCTTTTTTTCTTCTGGCTTTTTTCTTTTGTTTTTATTTGGATGTTGTTGTGTTCGACTTTGTTTACTAATATCATCGGAGCATGAGTCTTTTTTGCTTAACTTGTCTGCAATTTCTGGACATAGAGCATGCTTGTTAAAAAGGTATTCCTAGAAAGAAATTAGCTTTTCTCTCTTAGTCGTATAACATGAGTAAAGACTTCATCAGACCTGCAATTGTTCCATGTTCGGTTTGCTCATATTAATATCGATGATGTTTGGCTGTGAGCAGAATTGCTGTCGAGCATGAAGAAATACACGACGAATAGTTGCCCATTCTACATTAAAACAAAACTATCAACTGTTTCTAACAAAAAGAATGTAAGGCTTATTGCTGACTTTGTAGAGACAATCTATCGGCTAAATTGTGGGTCAAAAGAAATGTGTAACGATAAAATGAGGAGGGAGAGATGATGTTATGACAAACTGGGGGAGTAGCTAGCCGCTACTCGGCAATGATGTTTATTAGCTACTCTACATCTCCAGAATGTCCTATTGCACATTCAACACACACTTATATATGATACAGAAACAAAGGGAGAGAGATGACACAGAAAGAACAATAGAGAGAGAAAGAGGAAGAGCAGCGAGCCGTGACGTATATATCGGCACAAAATGGATCTTCGATAGCAATAGTTGGACGGAACCATCCTTTTTCAAAACGTAATAGTGGTTCATATTGCCGAATGGTGACAATATGTTTCTCATAATCAAATTGTTCGGTATAATAGCGTAAAAATTCAATCCATAATGCACCTGATGATAATGTGTTCAATCCGTAACCGCTCCACACTTGATTCTGATCAACAAGAGATCATCAAACAAAGTAAAACAAATCGTTAATGAGAACTGTTAATACGTACGAGTTTGGTTAAATCATCGTAGAAGTAAATATTCCAATTAGCACATTTTCGAATGATAGGAGTGTTGGTTAATTGAACATCGTTCAACTAAAATTTAAAAGAACTAGCAAAAGTAAGCAAGATCATCGATAGAATAGTATTCACAACTTGCTGCAGAACGGGTACAACAGGTGGTTGAATTTGTTGGAGAAAGTGTATCACCATGATCGTATATGCATAACTCGACAATGTTCCACGGCTCGCATCACCAATATCACATTTCTAAAATACCATACATAGAATCAACTCAAGAGTCTATCTGAGATTATGATCTTTCAATTGAACATAGACAGAGAATAAAATCATCAATTCATACTTTTGCCAAAGTTTTCATTACGGATCCAAGTTCGCGCACACGTGGGTCAATATCTGAATACATTTTCAGTAGTCGAGTATTTTCAATAGGCTAAATAGAAGATAGAAATTTTCATAAAATATTATATTCAATGAACATGTTAGAGTAGATGAGGTAGTAATATGAATTATTAACGAAAATCTATAGTCATAATGCTTTTTGAGAAGTAATATACAGTTCGCAAATGACGCACCAGAGTGTTGTTGAGACTAATATCGATTTCGATGCTAGACTGAAGATGTATTGATCGAACGATCGGTACTCTAGCGCTTCGCACTATTTCAACAGCTCTGAATATATTCTTATTTGATTCCATGGATTGAGCTAAGTTTTCCAGAACTTGAATGGTAGTTTCTTTTTTCTAGAATGCAAATAGAAATTAAATGATCGATAGAAATGACCAAAATCGAATATCAACATTCAGTTCTAATAGAACACAAATATCGAGATCACTATGTTGAAGACCAAAACCATTATAGAATGAACCATACGCACATAAACGACTATTGGGATATGTTTTTCGAAATTCCATTTCAAGATAATTTAAGATTGTTTCGCGTTCTTCAATACCTTCCTTAGTCGGTTTACATTCTTCTACTAATCGGCATAGTTAGTGAAAACATAAAAAGTAACATTACATGTAAAACTCTACCTGCCATTTTTCGACAAAGACACGAGAGTACATCAGACCATATTTTCTCGATTTTAGGCAAATCGATTATCTCCAGCAATGATAATTCGGGACATTCGAACTTGATATGATTACTTCTATAGCACACGGTACAGACTGACGGAGCACCCTTAAAGATACAAGCAAACTATGATCTTAACATAGTTCATGTCGTAAACTTCGTACTTTATCAGCTCCAAAATTTTTTGCTTGAAACTCATGGATACCTTGGACAGAGTTATCGAGTGAAATCGCTTCCAACGATGACAGTATATTTGTGGCAATAATTTCCTCGAGTTGAACCGACTGCGGATTGACTACAATTGATGGAACAGAAACATGACAATCTCCTATGAGTTTCTGAGAGTGAGGTTCATCAGTGACATTGTCAGCAAGAAACAATGTACTCGAATCAGATGTCGATAATAATTTGAAGTCATTGATGATTGTTAGCATTTTTCCATTGAATTCACGAACTGTAAGTAGAGGTAATGAATGGAGTTTTATTAAACTCAGAGTAAAACGAATGAAAGAGAGAGAGAGAGAGAAGTGAATTTTCATATCATTTGGTAGCAAGTCTTTGTAGCACTTAAAATTCAGTCTGTCCACCCAAGATTTACTCTACAATTATCTTCTATTGAATCAGATGCGATCGTCGCTTGATACTTTCTTTTTACGAAATCTAGCATTGCTGAACAAAGTCAATATCTGATAATCGTACTTTAGCGATTGAAATCCAAAAGTACAGGAAAAAAGCATTTGTCATTTTCTCGCAGTTTTTTCGCAATAAAATTTTCTCTAGAAAAAGTTCTAAACGGCTCTCCTGTCTACGAAGCATTACAATCAATACAGTTGACACATTTTCTCATCTGACGTAAACATTGATTATCTAATTTTAAGTATACTGGTCTAATAATATTTGACAATTCTTTGAAAATAAGTCATGACCGAAAAACAAACCAGTAGTTTTACATATTTTCATTGAGGAGAACAAGATATCTATTAATGAGCGTCAGAGGTACAAATAGTGCACTGGATAAATAGGAGTGAAATTTTAGATATAGTTGGCATCAATTCTGCTTCTAGAATCTCCCATGAAATGCACAAAATGTTCTATTGAGTCGTTCTAGCTAATTGTTGAAAACGAATTTCATCTTCTTATGGGAACAAATGTCTATAATCGTTATTCTTTAAAGAGTTCTATTCCAGCTTTCTTGAATTTCATAAGGTCTCTCATAATTCTAAACGATTTTCACATTCGTCTCAAAGATTATTCAGTCACGAACTATTATTTGAATGCGTGTTCTATAAATTGAGAGACGATTAGAATGTTTTTCATTGTTTCGCCATTGGTTAAAAGATCATAGATGGACTACGTAGTTTCACATTGTGCCGAATAAAGAGTTTTTAAATCACGTGTCAAGATCCCTCGTTTGGTCGGGACATCAATTACTCTTGTCAACTATAATAATCGATTCCACTAAGTCTAGCTCACTATTACCTTGCCGTTGGTATTCAAGTTTGAAGATACGCTTTTGATTCTCATCGAGATGTTCAACGAGTGTATCGAACGATAAAGGCTGTTCAATTATATCTTCTTCCAGACTGTAAGTATTGTCTGTGTCTTGTAGATCTTCAACTTCATCTTCCTTTGATTGAAATTCGTTTGTGCTAGAAAGAAAATGTGAATAAATTGTTCTGAATAATCAATTGACTCGATTTTGTTCACTTGCCTAGCACTCCCAGTCTCATTAGTATCTTCCTCTTGCACGTCTATTTCATGATCGATGATAGTATCATCAAGTGACTCGCTAAAGTTGACTTCAATTTCATTCTCGTTGGCACCTACACTATCAGAATCTGTGTCGAAATCATCCCGAGACTTTACTTCAAGTTCGTCTGCACTCTCAACTGTTTCGTCTACTAATGGTAGTAGATTGTTATCATCATTTGATTTAAGTTTTGGTTCAGGCCAAGGATTCATTGCGTTGTCGAATGTTTGTTTGTATGCTTGTCGTAGATCTTCCTGGGTGAAATTCATCTTACGATTGATTTCAAATACTAAAGCAGCAAACAATGATTTGCACGATCGATGCACTTCTCTGATTATTGAATTGCTTTTCATTTGCTCTTTTGTGTCATTTCGACAGAAATAATTCAATGCCTTGTTGAATGTTCGTCGAAAATATTTCAATGAAGAGTTCGCTTTTATGGTGTAAGATAAGTTCCTATTGATGAGTGTTGGATCTATATGAAAGAAGAAATTTGACAATGGAAATTCTAATCGACGTTACCTGCACAAAACAGATTCCGATAAAATTTTTGTTTTTCATTTTTCAGAATTGGCATTCGCGTTTGTATTGATACGATGAATTTATTGATATTAAATTTTAGCACATAGTAAGAAAGCAATTGAAGAAAGAGCATTTCGACAGATGTACTGTTTTCACTTTTCCATCTATTGGCATAATCGTTGCAAATATGAAAGAAGTCAGTGTACTGATCGTCACTGGGTGTCACCAGTATGTTATCAGCCCCAAATACCTTTGGTTTTTGACAAAATAGAGAAGATTTAGGGAACATAATAGACGAAGACTTACATATTCATGAAGACAAGGTAGAACCGGCTCTTGAATTTGTTGCAGAAAATGAATTAGCATGAGATGAAAAACGATCGGATGAAGAGTGCCCAAATCAGGTTTATCCAGAGAACATATCTAAATTGAAAAGTAAAGGAAGTCACAGTAGATTGTTTTACGATCGAAAACAAACAGGTGACCTTGGCAAAAAATCGAAAGAGTCGTAGTAATGGAAGTACACGTGGATCGAATCTTATGTAGAGGCGAATCATTTCAGAAGAATAAATGCCTCGATTGTAATTTGATGTCACTCGGATATGGATGTTCGTTTCCGGTACGACCAAAGAAATACAACATGGCTCATGATCTGTATTCAGACGAATATTCTTGTACAAACCTAATGGAAAATAGAATAGATGAAGTAAAATAGAAACATATTGTTGCATACCAGAATTATGAACAATTTCGAGTACTTCTCTTAGAGTATTGTAAGGTAAAAGCCCATTGCATTGAACATCAATATCGATAACAGCCGAGTCGTTCAAACAACAAGCGAAAGATACGGAACCATACAGAGTAACTTGAGCTCCTATTTACAAAAGAGATTGGATCTCTGATTTACTAAACGCATTGTCTGCCGACTACCTGGTTTTTTGGCAAGGATAGTAGTCCGGAATTGATTATATAGGCGTACGGCTTCTTCAAGACTTGCCCTGGACAAGAACTGTTCGATAACGACTCTGTCAAAAACATGTTTCAAGGCTGCTAAATGCTCAGAGATTGCTTCTTTATTAGAGATAGCATTTCGATTATTTTGTGTCTAGAGAGAATGAAGTATCTCTTCATAGTATGTTGATGATAACTGAAAACAAAGGATGACTCACTTTGTTCTGTGAATAATAAAGCTCGTTTCTTTGATCGTGATTGTTCGACTCCACTACAATAAAAGAGACTTTGTTCTACGAAATTCTGAATTCCCTGAACAAGTATGTACTCGATCCTCCTCTTCTATATCTAAATCTGCCACTGGGACGAGATTTATTTCGAGACGAGTATGCGAGTTGTTGAACATGACAAGTAGTGAATAACTGATGTTCATTTGGATTTCTCCATCCACGTGATGCTGGTCTTTGTTGTTCAAGTCTCATCAATTGCCAAAAATCGTAATCGTTCTGTGTATCATTTTGGACCGAGTTATCTGTTCGTTTCTTACCGCTTTTTTGTCTCATTTTTTGTGTTGATTGATTCATTGTGTCTGAATATAATAAGAGCCAAGATCACGTCTCTAAAACAAGTCTATAACTGCGTCTGCTGCGTTGTCGTGAGAAACCTGGCGAATCTACAATATAGATAAAACATCTTATCTTCAACCTGACTCTTAACGCATTGTTGACGAAAGACACGCAGAGTACTTGAAAAGTTGTGTCGATGAGCTCTCTTAAAAATCCCAACTTTAAGGATCTTTGTCGAGGGAAGAAGTACAAGTAAAAAATGAAGCATGGCAAAAGAGCTCTGAGTAAATGTACTATACTCTTGCTTTTATTTTTGTGGGCTGCATGCTTTTTCCTCGTTTTGCTCGACGAACCTCTTACGTAAGCGTTGATTCGTTTGTTTCTGGTATTCTTTCAGAGTACCTTTGGCTATAAGATGGCGTAACATGCAATTCACATAGGTTTGCGCAACGTATACTAACTTATGCTAGAACCTGGAATAACATGACACAGTCCCGCAAAGTTTGGGATAATAAAATATTTCTGAGCGGTAACCACACTACTTCTAAAAAGGTGAAGAAAAAACCTAAAGATTTTTGAGGATTTTCCGGGCAGAGACACTGAAACTCGATCAAAACAATTTTCAGTAAAGACAGATAGGCTCTATGCTTTCTAGATTTTGTTTTTGAGTAATGTCCACCATGTGTGCCTCGAAATTGCATACGAACTTCTCTATCAACGATCAAGCAGACTTGCCTGAGAATCCGACTTATTGTTCACATTTATAAACGAAAACTATCAATAAAATTTATTGGTAAAGGGAACTCATTTCTTTCTCGGGGTATCTTACGAATTGTTCTATGAAAAAATCTAAAGCTTTCAGAGCATATAGAGACTGAACAGTCGTTTAAAACCTGTTACAGATTCTAGTTATCTCAGTGCTTTCTCTTATGAAATATGAAGTTCACAAAAGCTAAAAATGATCCAATTTTCAACTCTCGTTTTTTAGATGAATTCTGCTAATTATTTTAGGAAGAAAGAAAATTATCTATTTGTAAACAGTGTCTCATATTTGTGAGCAAAGTTTAAGCGCGATCGAATGAAGTGTGTCGGAGAATTCGCGGGGACTTACATATATCGGAATTTCTGCTTTCTAAACTAACGCTATCAGATTTCGACTATGTTGAGCATTTTGACTGGGTACATCCTTGATATCCAGAGTACATTCCAAACATTAAACAACTTCTGTTATGAACGAAACTCGGTTGTAACATAATGATGCTAGCATGGTTTTTCCTTCTAGGTGGTCTTTATGCTGTGTTTTATTACCGTTGTGAATAGCAACGGAAATCTTTCATTGATACATCATAGAGCATAAGTGACTGCAGGACTCTATTAGCGATAAAAAAAACCGAAATCGAAAAACTGGAGATTTAGAGGTTGGAAAGTGAGAATGCTTTCAAGAAGGCTAACAGCTTTCGAAACGAATAGCAGGTAGGTGTAATAGTTCATTTGTTTGAAGAAACCGGGTTCGATATCGCAAAGTCAATAAACGTTCTTTGAAAAACGTGATTCATTTACCATTTGATAACAAAGAAAGAAAAACGCAATAATTTCTTCTCAGTCTCTTATCTAGATATTGGTCTGACGAAGAGGACAAGAAAGTCAAGAGGTAAAATTAGAGCTGACGATATTAATACAGATAAGAATTGGTTTAGTTGCATGTATCGCGTGTGCTGCAAGATTCAAAATTCATATAAAAGAACTAATTGTTCATGTACACTACCTCTAGAAGATCTGTATTTCGTCCACTGATAGTATGCTTTTATATCTATGCAAGTTTGAAAGTGTTGGCTTCCTTTCAAGATGTTCACTAGTCAATTTTTCATCCGAATTTCTTTCTGATAGAAATATGATTCCATCTTAGCAGAATTCGAACTATTCCAAGGTGATAATTTTTAAGCTACCCATACTTCAGCTCTCATTTCACATCTCGTCACATTGATGTCTACTTACCGAAAATAGACGTTAAAAAATCGAAGAAACGTGCATTGAAAAAAAAAGCAAGATAAACAAACGTTGTGATTGCTTCGACTGTTTGGTTGTTCTGTTCAGAAAAAAGAATTAAAATCAGAGACATGAGGGTGTGGGTGTGAGTGATGAGAAGACTAATACTCCACATCCACATCCACGCCTAGAAAGTACAATAACTTTATGAAGGTAGATGCAGTCATCTCCATCGCACTCCATTTGAATCCGTCATTGCAACATCCTCGTATATTCTGAACAGTAGCAAGCTGAAATCAAGACAACTTCATTTCGAACTCCTTCTGACTAGTACAAAATTTCATCTGATCGCAATTTTCTTTTTCTCACTCTATTACACATGCTTTGCATTGACATTTTTCGTCTTTTGGGTTTTTTCGAATCGTGCGATGAATCATCCATGCTCCCTCATTCTTCTGCGCGATAAGCAACCAGTCGATAGAGGAATAAATATGTTACTAGACAAACAGAACAGAACGAATATGGAGTGTAAGAGTGAAGAGAAAAGTTGTCATAAAAGCAACTTGCCTGATGTTTACGTCTTGTAGGAAGTATTTTGTTAAGAAACACACAACTGATTCCACAGATGCTGCTTTAACAGAAGTGTTATTAGGTCGTTGATATTTTCTGTATACTAAAAATATCCTTGACTACTTCGATCTGTCTGAGATTTTGAGTCTGATAATTTCCATTCATCATCAGATGACGTTGGATGCGTATCAAGATTCAACCTAGCAATCAGATACTATTCTCAATTTCGTATGTGATTACACACACGTGTATCGTGCTTCTTGATTGAAAGATAACAGTTATTCGGATAGCAAATGTCTTAAAGTAGATAATGCGGGAAAGAACACATTGATTATGCACTTTCCAACAACAAACCATTAATCGACTAGTGACAAGACTCTGTTAGTTGGTATCCCAAAGAACCAAAATGTCTTTGTCGTTGAAGATATACTTAATTATGAAGATCAAATTGAAGGCGATGTCTCACACAGGTATGAGTGAAAGATATTGTTCTTATATCGAATACGTGAATGAGTTTGGTACTTTATCCAACCAATTCATAGCTGTTTTGAAACATTACCCAGTGAACTTTTGTTCATGATGATATGTCATCTCAATTCACCGAATCATGTTCAAGCCTTTTATGATCTCAATCAATGAATTGACAGGATTATGCTAAAATCTCTACACCATTTCGTTCTTCCATGCAACGTATGAATAGCTTGGTTCGTGGAATATATGCCGTGCATTGAGAATAGAATTAAAATGATTTGCTTGAATGTCGACTTGATAAATCATACCTTTATATGTGAAAATGTGCTTTGTAACATTCGAGCACAGAAAGATGAACAGATTAACACTTTCGAGGCGATTCAATTTTCTCAGAAAATAACTTTAACAGATTCATTTTCTTGTTTGTATCATTACATAGGCGGTCCTCTTTTACGTCGAACTCAGTAATTACTAAAATTTGTTTCTCTCTCTCTCTCTTATATGTATTGCGCAGTAGGAATGAGATAACGAAACGAAATTTCGATTTTTTTTCTTGTGCATTCTTTTCACAGCATTATCTTTGACTCTTTCCTCTCGTGTGTATGAAAACCATTGAAATTTTGCGGTAATTTATATGCCGTTTCAAGAAACCGATAAAGAAGATAGCGCTAACTCACTGAATGATGACTTTGATAGAATGCAGTTTGAATCGTCAAGCTCCTAGGCAGAAGTTACTGTTGGTAACATGAACTTACAAGTCTGAAATGAAATACGATCAGAATCGGATGCTGAATTCCAGGAGGATTATGCAATCGTCAAAGAAGTAAGGTCAACTTCGCAAGATAATACAGTCAATCCTATTGATTGCTGTCGATATTTCACCACTGACGAAATGATTAGTCACATGGTTCGCGAAACTAATCGATACACGGAACAACACTTATACACTCAAAAACTTAGCAGACGATCAAAAACTCACACTTCCATGGGAATCAACTGCTAATGAAGAAATAATGAAATTTTTGGGAGCTATTATCGAGATTTGGTCGATACAAATGCCGAAAGTGGACTAAGTACTACTGGAACAAAAGCAAGTTGTATGGATCCGAAATCATTCAAAATACAATGTCGAGAGACAAATTTGAATTACTGCTCAAGTTTTACCATTTTTCGAACAATGAAGAGGAGCATATAGACCAAAATAGACTGTTCAAGTTGAAACCACTTTTGGATTTATGAAAAGTCAGATTTAAGTCGATTAACATTCCTCGCTCAATCATTACTATCGATAAAACAAACAAGGATACCATGGCGAGGCCGGCCTCTCTTCAAATAATACATTCCTGACAAGTCACACAACTATGATGTTAAGATATGCATGGTAGTCGATACGAATGGACACACTTGGAATTTGATGGTTTATACCGAGAAGCAGGATCTAATAGCCAGTTTTGGACGTCCTCAAACAGTTGTAATGAATTTATTAGGAGATCTTTTGAAGTGCTATCAAACTGTAGTAGCTGACAACTTCTTTACCAATATTTCTCATGCAAAAGGTTTGTCACAAAATGATACGTATCTTATTGGTACATTGAGAAGCAATTGTATCGGACCAGGAAATGAAGTTGTTCAGAAAAAAGCTCAAACGTAGCGAAGTTTATATATTCCAGAGGAATGATGACATAAAATTGATCGAGTGGGAAGATAAAAGTGACATTTTGATGATATCCACAAAGCCATTACATTCAGCAACTGTGGTGGATATCAGGAAAACCAATAAATTAAATGAACTCATCATGAAGCCACAAGTTATACTCGATAATAATTACGGGAAGCAAGATATAGATTTATCATGTTAGTTATCAGCATACTATATCTGTCTCAAACGA